TGGCTGCCTTCGCCGCCCGCTTCACCTACGTGCTGACCTCGGGGGGCATCGGCCCCACGCACGACGATGTCACCTTCGAGGCCGTGGCCAGGGCTTTCGGGGAAAAGGTCACCCCCCACCCTGAGCTGGTGGCCTTGGTGCACAAGTTCTTCGGCAAGACGGCCGCGCGGTCCCCCGAGATGAAGCGGGCTCGTGTCCCCGAGTCCTCCCGCCTCAACTACGGCACGGACGGGCGCACGGGCAGCGCCTTCAAGTACCCGCTGGTCAGCGTGCGTAACGTCTACATCTTCCCAGGCATCCCGGCGCTGATGGAGCGCGCCCTGGACGGCCTGGCCCACCTCTTCCGCAACGAGGGGACCCGCTTCCACTCCCGCGCCATCTACGTGGCGGCCGACGAGATCCTCATCGCGCCCGTGCTGGACCAGGTCAACGCCACCTTCCAGGGCCGCGTCAGCTTGGGCTCCTACCCAGACTGGGCCAACAACTACTACCGCGTGAAGCTGACGCTGGACTCGGAGTCGGAACAGGAGCTGGAGGAAGCGCATCGCTTCTTGGTGGAGAAGCTGCCGCCGGGCGTTGTCGTGCCGTTGGTGACGGACTGCGTTTCGCCAGCGGCCGCGGAGGTGTACGGCCTGGCGGAGTCAGGTACAGGGAAGCGGGGCTGCAGCACGCCTCGGTGCCGCCACGCTGCTCCTGCAGGGCTGGAGCAGGGGGAAGCCCAGCCTGGGAGCAGAGCTTTCCTGTTCTTGGGGGGCTTTGAGGGGTGCTGAGGCTTTGCTGGTGCTGTGGCTGCAGTGGGCTTCATCCCACAGGGGTGGGAATGAGAGATGTAAAGTTAAGGCCAGCTGGTGCCAGTCCCTCAGAGCACAGCCTGCACTGGGGGAGCGGTGCCACCGTTCCCTTGCGCAGGCAGGATCCCTGTCCCGTCCCGGGTTGCACAAGCTCTTGGCTCCACGCTGCGGTGCCGAGGGTGGCTCCGCGGTGTGGCAAGATGTGCCCGGAGGGCGAGGTGCCACAGGCAGCGGCGAGGCCCTGACCGTCCCCTCCCGGCAGGCTCGGCCTTGGGGCAGAAGGTGGCAGCAGCACTGCGGACCATTGAGGAGGCTTTGGACCGGTACAGCCTGGCCCAGCTCTGCGTGGGCTTCAACGGGGGCAAGGACTGCACGGCCCTGCTGCACCTCGTCCACGCCGCCGTGGAGAGGTACCCGGCCGCAGGGCTCCACCAGCCTGGCCTGGGGCAGGGGTGAGGGGGTCCCG